ATGCCTCAGAAGATATGGATCAATTGTGGGTCGTATGGCTTTTCTCAAAGTGTTATCTATGAGAATTGCCCTGAATATTGTACCTCATGTTTACACCTAGGGCATTCTAAATCTAAATGCCCCAAGAGGACTGCGGAGCAACCTAAAATGCTAGCATTACAAAAGGATAAATGGGTGCAAAAAGTAATCTCAACCAAGGAAACTCAGGACAGGAAGTACACTACAGAGGAAAAAGGGAAAGCTAAGATTACAGAGGTTAATCTTTCAAATGCACAATCTACATCAAAGCTACAGATTGAGCAGATTGATTTAGTTCCAGAGATGGTATCTCTAGAGATTCCAACTGCAAGGGAAAAGGAAGAAATTAAATCTCTCATACAGATGGAAATATCTGGTATTTGCAATTCTTCTCCTGGGGACATTACAATGATCCAAGATGATTTCCAGTTGCTGCATTTGAACAAACAAATAGATAAGGATCTGTCAATTCTCAATAAAGGGTATCATTCAGAAGGTGATCATTATAATAAGATGTCTTTAGATAGCATTGAACACTTAGATCCTTTTATACTAAAATCAGTGGAGGCCATGGCTATCAGATTAGAAGCAGCAGAGGCAGAAAATATTACCAATTCAGCGGAGGCAAACAACCTGTCTAAATCTGGAAATGCTATGCAATCATCTCAAATTCCTGAGCCACAACAACCTGCTTTAAACTACACACAATCAGAAGAGGAGGAGGAGGGTTTTACTAAAGTTGAAAGGAAAAATGTTAGGAGAAAAGCACTTACTGATCCAGCATTTAGGAGGGCAACAAGAAGTGCAGCTAGGGGTGAAGGGGCTGATATCCAAACAGTCCAATGAATTGCTTAATTTGGAATGCTAGGGGTCTGGAATCCTCCAGTTCCAGATTAAGTTCCCTAGTTCAACAATGGAGGTTGGTTATTGTGGTGGTTATTGAGCCTATGGTGGACATGCTTAAATTGAGCCATTACAAATCTGTTCTAGGTTTCGATGAAGCAGCATGTTCTTTTGGTACTAAAGTATGGATTTTTTGGAATTCTAATGCTGTTCAGATTACTCAGATCCAATGGCACAATCAATTTGCTCATTTTAAAGTTACAGGCAGTTTATATAATGGTTGGTTTACTGGCATTTATGGTCAGCATAACTATATTACAAGAAGAGATATGTGGTCATCTCTTAAGTCTATTTCTGGTAATATGGTCGAACCTTGGATCTTGGGGGGGGGGGGGGGGATTTTAATGAAATAACTAAACATTGTGAGCATAAGGGCAATTCTTTATTAATACTTCGAGGGGTTAATGATTTTGTTGAATGTATATCAGCATGTGAGTTGATTGATCTGCCAGTTTCAGGACCTAAATACACATGGACTGGTGTTAGATCAAACGGTAGAGTTTGGAGAAGATTAGACAAGGTGTTGTTTAATCAAAAATGCATTGATTGTTTTGATCATATACAAGTCTCCCTACTCAATAAAACTCCTTCTGACCACAATCCCCTTCTTATTCAGTGTGCTAATAAAGGTCAAACTGGACCAAAGCCTTTTAGATTCCAGAATATGTGGTTCTCTAATGCTTTGTTTATGGATTTTGTTAAGAAGAGCTCGAACACTTATAAATATGGAGGAGGGATGAGGGGCCTGGTATCTAAGCTACAGTATCTTAAAAAGGAACTCAAGATGTGGAACAAGGAAGTGTTTGGTAATATTTTTGATGATATAAAACATTGTGAAAATGAGGTTCTGCTGGCAGAAAAAGCTTATGAAGAAAATCCTGGAGATGATACTAAGGAAGATTGGGCTCATAAAAGGGGTTTGCTTCTTATTAAACTTAAGATTGAAAGAAAATTTTGGAAACAGAAAGCTCACATTAAATGGATTAAGGAAGGGGATTGCAATTCCAAATTCTTTCATTCTTTTGTTAAAACTAGAAACAGAAAGCAGTCTATTACCTCAATCAAAGATGGTGCTGGAAACACTATTTCTTCCCATGATCAGATAGGAGAAGCTGCAGTTGATTTTTTCAAGGGCTTGTATTCTGTTCAGAGCAATGTAGCACATAATGAGATTCTGAATCATATTCCTTCCCTTATTACTCAGGAAGATAATTACATTCTCACCCACCTGCCAAGTCATGATGAAGTTAAGAAAGTGGTTTGGGATTTAAATCAAAATAGTGCACCTGGACCAGATGGGTATAATGGGAAATTTTTTAAGAAATGTTGGGATATTGTTGGCAAAGATGTGACTAGTGCAGTTCAAGAGTTCTTCTTGGGCATTCCTATCCCAAAGGGAATGTCTAGCTCTTTTATTGTCTTAATCCCTAAGACTGATAACCCTAATTCCTTTGCTGAATTTAGACCTATTTGTCTATCTAATTTCATTGGCAAAGTCTGCAGTAAGGTTCTTGCTTCCAGACTTGGTATTATTCTTCCAAAGATTATCTCTAAGGAGCAGGCTGGGTTTATGGCTACTAGAGACATGGCAGATCAAATCTTGATTGCTCAAGAAATGGTGCACAGTATAGACAAAAAGGTCAGAGGGTCCAACATGGTGATTAAGCTTGATATGGCTAAGGCTTTTGATAGGTTATCTTGGGCATATCTTAATGAAGTTCTTTTCAGATTTGGGTTTTCCTCTCAATTCATTCATTTGGTAATGAATAATCTTAAGTCCACTTACTTATCTGTTCTTGTTAATGGCAGTCTTCAGGGATTTTTTAAACCTACTAGAGGGGTTAAACAAGGTGATCCCCTTTCTCCTTTCTTGTTTATTATTGCATCTGAAGGCTTCTCAAGAGGGCTTAATTGGATTATGGAGAAAGGCTGTATTAAACCCTATTGGATGGGCAGTTTTGGGTACCCCTTTTCACATCTGGGTTTTGCTGATGATCTATTAGTTTTTCTTAATGGGGACTCTAGATCACTTCTTAATTTTAAACACTTTTTAGAGTGCTATCAAGAAGCTTCTGGTCAGCTTGTGAATTTAGAAGAGAGTTCATTTATTTGTGGAAAAACCTCTCCATCCAGGCAGGTTAGAATTAAAAATCTTCTGGGTATGAAGATGTCTTCCTTACCCATGAAATATCTGGGAGCTAATTTACATAAAGGGATGAACAGGTTTCAATTTTGTAGTCAGATTATCAAGCAATTTGAAAATAAGTTGACCCCTTGAAAGCAGAAACATTTGTCACAAGGTGGGAGGCTTATTTTAATCAAACATGTTCTTAATTCTATTCCACTTCATATGCTAGCTGTGGATTTGCTTCCTAAGAAAGTGGTTAAGATATTGAATAATAAAATGGCTTCATTCTTTTGGGGTTCTTCTGATATTAAAAAGAAGCATCATTGGATCAGTTGGAAAAATCTTTGCAGACCTACTTCTGAAGGTGGATTGGGTATAAGATCTCTAAGTGATATTGAAAAAGTTTTCTCTATTAAATTTTGGTGGAAGTGGAAAACTAGCAATTCTATTTGGGCAAATTTTGTTAGAGACAGATATAATAGAAGTGGATGTATGATACCTAAGGTCTCAAATTCAGCAATATGGAGAAGAATCTGTGAAATCAATGATTATGCTTCATCTTTATGCTCAGATAGCCCTTCTGGTCACCTTACCTGGAATGGAGAAGATAGTGGTAAGTTTTCTTTTAAAACAGCATATGAAGAGGTTAGGGAGCAGATTTACAATGATTTCTCTTTTCAACATATATGGCATCCAAGACAGGAATTGAGAATTAAAATCTTTCAGTGGAAAGTTTTAAGGAAGATTCTTCCTTTCACAGATAATTTGGGCAATTTTAATATGATGTTAAATCCATCAATATGTCCTCTTTGCAAGAATCACTCTGATAATCAGAATCATGTGTTGTTACAATGTTCAGTGGTAAAACCAATTTGGCAGTATTTCATGGGAATATTGGGTATTCCTTTCTTTAATACCCAGATTTTTCAAGTTTATAGAGATTGGTGGATTAAGGCTAGTAACAGGAGTCTGACTGACATATTTAGACATAATTTAGCTGGAATTATCAGTTGGCATATTTGGAAGGTTTATGCAAATCAGATTTGGGGAGACGGGGGTCCTATCCCTAAGTCGGAAAGCATCATTCTACAGATAAAATTTTACACTCAAGACTGGGTGAGAAGTTTTTCTGGGTTAAAAGTTCGAACAATAGGCTCGGTCTTGTTTGAGGATGGTCTCATTCCAAGGAATTTCAGATTGGCTGGCCCTGGGTTTCAAATCATACGATGGAGGAAGCCTAAGAACAACAATAAATTGAACATAGATGCGAAATACTTATCCGGGAATGCTTCAGGGGGAGCGATTATGCGTGATTCAACTGGGAAGATGCTTGGGGTCACTGCGTTTCCTCTTCAAGCGTCTTCATCCTTAGATGCTGAGATTCAGGCTATTGGGGTTGTTGTGCGTTGGGCGGTGGCATAAGGTTTTGAAAAATTTCTGGTGGAATCCGACTGCTACCTGGCGTTGGAGTATATCTCTGGAAGGGAGACGAGGAGATGGCTTGGTCTAATTCAGGAAATCACGCAGATAGATTTTAGGAAAGATCTGGCTTTTGGGCATACTTATCGGGAGGGGAACTGGGCTGCGCATTTTTTGGCTGACCTCCAGGCCCGGCAGATGATTTCTTTCAATAGTCCGGCCCAATTACCGACTTTGGCAAAAAGAGCTTATTTGATGGATTTTTTTGGTATTCCCTCTTTCCGGTATTAAATTCATTTTTGATTTTCTTTGCTTTGTTATCTGGTTTATCTGAGAGTTTTGGTTTGGTCCCCTCTCAGCTGTATCTTTTCTCTTTTTAATAATACATGGCAACTGTCCCCCGGCTTTTGCCCCACTGATTTTGGTGGTTTGCCTTCCGAGGTAAAAAAAAAGTCAAATTTATATCAATAAACCAAGTTCTCAACTCATAGTCATATAGACAATTCCAACTGATTTTCCTTTGAAAAATATCATTTATCTCAATATTCAAAATATCACGATGGGGGAAGTTGAGAGCGTCTCTCTCTAGCCATTCGCGGCCGGACTCTTCCCCTTTCGGTCTTCTCGGGTCGGCACCACCACTTGCGGTGGCCGCCGCCGTCGGGGCCTCCCGGCTCCGGCGGGTCTCTAGGTACCTTGGTTACACATTTTTGGAACTTGGGCTGGACCACCTCGGTGGTTCTTGGGAGGTTTTTTCGCTAAAGCTTCCTGGCCGGATTTTATGGATGTTTGGACTGGTTTTGAGCTGGAGTATGGCAGGGCTCGGCTATCTCAGTGGTTCTTGGAAGATTTGGAAGACTGGTTCGCTGGAGCTGACCGGAATTTATGGAAGTGAAGGTTGAGTTTGAGCTGGGTTCTTCAATGGCGGCGCTAATGCTGGAGATTTCTGGGGGTTTCTAATGGTGCTCGAACAGGTTACATCCTTGGGGGGGAATTCTTGGAGGTGCCGGTCATCACTGTGGATCCGGCCGGCAGGGGTCATTGCGTGTGGGGGGAGCATGTACAGTGACGAGGTCGGGGAGGAAGATGGTCTGGTTGCGTTTCGTATGGGAGTTCTGACCGGAGAAATAAACCTGGTTGGGTCACCGGAGGTTGCGACCGGAGATAGAAGGTAAGGTTATGCCATGGCTTCCGGTTCGAAGGTATGTAGGTGTTTGCTTTCTTTCTTTTTTTTGGTGAGGACTCTTCTGGATGAAGCCTGAAATGCTCCTGGATGCACCCGCCACTGTTGAAGGACCGGCCAGTGGCTCATGCGTGTAGGGGTGGCATGTACAGGGTCAGGGTCCGGAGAAGATACTGGTTGGGACGTTTTGGGATGTTCTAGGGCGACAGATAGAAGGGTCTAATACCCAAGGTTGGAAAGGCATGGGGATTTTACTGATTTTTCAAGCCGGAGAAGACGCCCGGAGATAGGGATTGGGAGTGATTTACCGGTGAGGACAACTGGTGTGTGAGGTGCGAACCTGATGCAAACTAGTTTGGGTCCAACTGGGTCGGATTTGTGATTTTAGTACAAAACGTTTCGTGACAGTGGCCAGGGTTCGCCGGAGAAGATGACCGGCAAGCCGGGAAACGATTCCGCCTGCCACTACTTTGTTTCGGGCTACTGTTGCTCCGCCACCGTACCGTCATACCACCGACGCCGCCGGGGCTCGACGGGGGTGGGTGGTGGAAGGTGGAAGCTTGGGCCAGCAGGGGGTTACGTCCGGTTTGGTGGTGCCCTGGTTTTCCGGTCGCCGGACTGCCTGGTGGTACCGGCACCAGGTGGGGGGACTAGGGTAAGGGGTGGGGTGGGTTGACTGACTGCTCACCAGATGGGCCAGGCTGTCCGTTGACCTGCCAGATTTTGAAATTTGAATTCTGGACCGGCGGCTGGGAATGCGTAGCGATGAAAGGTTGGGGTGTGGGCTGTTGCCCTAAATTTCGGCTTGTAGCTATGCGGATGTGCTGGGTTGCTTTTGTGGGCCGCAAGGTTTGTGATGGGCTTTGGACTAGCAGCGGCTCCAGGGCGGATGACTGATGCTTGGATGTGCGGATGGGCCTTCTCATGGTGGGCTGCTGCCTGGATTCTTGGCCCGCGCGTGCTGAAGCTTCTTGGGGCCTGACTTTTTGCTGAATTTGACTCCTTTTGGGCTTTCGGACAGCCCTTGTGTGGGGTTTGACCTGGACTTTTATTAGTGATACTGCTTAGCAGTTTAGATTGGGCCGCTGTAGGCTGGATGGGATTTCTTTTTGTGATATGAGCCGGGGGCCTGTCCCGTGCTTTTTTGAATTCTCCGAAAATCCTCTCCCCCCCCCGCCGGGGGGGGGGGATACGGTATATACTATTTTAGGTTAGCTTGCTACCTAGATAGTTCTTTTTGATTCTTTTGATGCATACTATTTTCTGGATATATATATTTACATTTTATCCAAAAAAAAATGAACATACACAATTTACTCTTAAATTTGTATATCATGCTCCCTTTTTCCTTAGACATTTAGTCTTGTCATTTTTAGGCATTATTAATCATTAATAATCCATAAAAATACATTTAATTACCTTCGGTAATCTCATTAAATTAACTCATCAATTATAAGCAATATAGTCAGCCATCCTCACCTTATGATGTGCTGAAATAGTTGCCTTTGTTGAGCTCCCCGATAAATCCTCGTTTTAAACCGATGAAAAGGCAAAAACTGGAATGCCTGGGCAAAAGCCGGGCGGCTTTCACGAAAGCCGGGCGGCTTTCGTAGTCTGCAGCTACGAACAGCTCCTTTGGAGTGGCGGTTTCCGGCGGTTTCGACTCCTATCGATTTGCCAACCCTTCTAAGTTAATTACCACCACTTTATAACAATATTCTACACTTTTAAACGTGTAGAACTCAAGGTTTAATCCACCATATGATTTCTTACAAATCATACTCCAAAAACTAGTTAAAGAACAATAGTTATGTTCTTACCTTGAATCCTAGCTCCTTTCTTCTTGGATTTTCTCCCTTCTTGATTCCTCCACGTTTAAGCTTGGTGAAGAACCTTTTTCCCAGAGCTTCTCTCCCTTGAACTTGGCTTGTGCGGATGAGGCAATTGATTGAGGAGGCAACTCTTGCAATCAAGCCACAAATACACACCAAGGATGGGACATGGGGCCTTTTGTGTGTAGACTTTGTCTCTAGGGAGCTTCCTTCCAGCTCCCCTCTTGCAAATCAGATCACAAAAAACGTGGGGTGGCCCCCACTCATGTGGGAGGTCATCCCAATATGTCCCGGTATGTATAATCGGCCCCGAAAGTTGTATTTTTCGGACTACTTTAGTCATATTTTATTTTATCGGGTCGGATAAAATATATCACGTGTTCCTAATAATTATGGGCCTTTAGAAACGATGTACATTCCCCAACATTAATTTAGGAGCCTCCGAAACTCATTTCGGGCTGTTATCCGTTAAATTGCCAATACCGGCAATTGGGTCCCGTTTGACCAACCGGTCAACTCCATGCCTTTCTTATGGCCCAAATAAAATATCCACCACCATATAGACGTCATCTAACCCAAGATGAATATAATATGTGGTTCGGGAATTATCGGACGGTCCCCGTTCCCACTGTGGGCCCCACACGCAATTTACTATTCACGTAAAAGAAATAATAAAAACTTACAATTACGCAAATTCATAAATCATCTTTCAAGGTTTATTACATAATTCACTAAAAGTAAATATGCTCGGGGTCAGTGTTACAAGTTCACCCCCCCTTAACGGGAATTTCGTCTCCGAAATTCACAATGTTCATCCAAACAAAAACGCGTATTGCTCCTTCATCAAAGCCTCCGTTTCCCAAGTTTCCTCCTCAACTCGGTCACTTTTCCAAAGGATTTTAACCATTGGAACTTTCTTGCTTCTCAATTTCTTGACTTGCCTGTCAAGTATCTTCACCGATTGCACGGCATAATTCAAGTCTTCCCGTATTTCCACGGGTGGTTTTTCTAATACATGAGATGGATCCGGCATATACTTCTTAAGCATGGACACGTGGAATACGTTATGTATCTTCTCCAATTCTGGAGTCAACTGTAATCGGTATGCCACGGCCCCAATCCTCTCAAGAACCACGAATGGCCCTATGTATCGTGGGTTAAGTTTCCCTCGGCTCTGAAATCGGATGATTCCCTTCCAAGGGGAAACTTTCAGAAATACTTCATCTCCCACCTTAAACTCCAAGGCTCTTCGGCGCTTATCGGCATAACTTTTCTGTCTATCCTGGGCCGCCTTAAGTCTCTCACGAATCATCTTCACCTTAGACTTGGTGATCTCCACCAATTCCGTGCTCTCGAGTTTGGCCATGCCAACCTCATCCAACCACAATGGTGTACGACATCTCCTCCCATACAATGCCTCGTATGGAGGCATGCCTATACTTGCCTGATAACTGTTGTTATAGGCAAACTCCACAAGTGACAAATGGTTGTCCCAACTCCCTTGGAACTCCAATGCACAGGCTCTCAGCATATTGTAATACCCGAGATTAATTTAAGAGGATTAATAGTACTACTCATACCAACAGAGGTGCATCTCCTTTTAAGGGAGCTCATCACCCAAGAACTCCAAAGTTAAGCGTGCTTGCACGGGAGTAGTCTTGGGATGGGTGACCCCCTGGGAAGTTTCTCAGGGCGCGCATGAGTGAGGACAAAATGCGTGGTAAAGGCTCGTGGTGGTTTGTGGGGACAGTAATAGAGGTCTAGAGTAACTACCTCGGGTCCTGCGAGGCCGGGGTGTTACAGGTGGTATCAGAGCAACCCTGCGACAGTGTGCTGACCCGTTAGATATCGGGCGGGTACTTAGCGGGGCAAGATTCTGGGGTTTGATTGAGATTGGTTTAAGGGCGCAACGAGGACGTTGCGATCCTAAGTGGGGGTGATTGTAATACCCGAGATTAATTTAAGAGGATTAATAGTACTACTCATACCAACAGAGGTGCATCTCCTTTTAAGGGAGCTCATCACCCAAGAACTCCAAAGTTAAGCGTGCTTGCACGGGAGTAGTCTTGGGATGGGTGACCCCCTGGGAAGTTTCTCAGGGCGCGCATGAGTGAGGACAAAGTGCGTGGTAAAGGCTCGTGGTGGTTTGTGGGGACAGTACTAGAGGTCTAGAGTAACTACCTCGGGTCCGTGTGGGCCCCGGGGTGTTACACATATCCTCTAATATCTGTATAATCCGCTCAGATTGCCCATCCGTTTGTGGATGAAAAGTTGTACTGAATTTCAACTTTTTCCCCATAGATTCTTGGAATTTCGGCCAAAATCGTGATGTGAATCGCGGATCTCTATCGGATACAATGGTTATAGGAACCCCATGTAGCCTCACGATCTCATCCACATACAACTTGGCTAACCTCTCCTGTGCATAGGTGGTGTTGATAGGTAGAAAGTGTGCACTCTTTGTGAGCCTATCGACCACAACCCATACGGCATCATAGTTCTTAACCGTTCGTGGCAGCCCCACCAAGAAATCCATAGTCACATGCTCCCACTTCCATTCAGGAATGGAAAGTGGCTGTAGTAACCCAGCCGGATGTTGATGTTCTGCCTTAACTTGCTGACAAGTAAGACACTTACTGATGTACTCGGCTATTTCCCTCTTCATACCCGACCACCAGTAACTTTCCTTCAAATCACGGTACATCTTCGTGCCTCCCGGGTGCATGGCATACGCCGATGAATGAGCCTCCTCTAAGATGGACTTTCGGAGCTCATCATCCAACGGTACACACACTCGGTCACGAAATAATAAGAGACCATCGTCTCTCTCCCTGAAATCCTCAACCGGTCCCGCTAGCATGTGTTCACGGATCTTCATAAGTTCTTCGTCGGTTTCTTGACCCTTCTTGATTTCATCAAGTAATGTAGGTCTCACCTCGAATCTAGCTAACAAGGCACCATCGCTAGATACCTCCAATTGGGCTCTCAATGCCCTCAAGCTAGTCAATAATGCCCCAGATGAATTCTTTCGGCTCAAGGCATCCGCTACCACGTTGGCTTTACCTGGGTGGTACTCGATAACTAGATGATAGTCTTTTATCAACTCCATCCACCGTCTCTGTCTCATGTTTAACTCTTTCTGAGTAAACACGTACTTCAGGCTTTTGTGGTCGGTGTATATATGACATGTTTCCCCGTAGAGATAATGTCTCCAAATCTTCAATGCGAACACCACCGCCCCCAGCTCTAAGTCATGAGTGGGATAATTTACCTCATGCTTCTTCAACTGTCGTGAAGCATAGGCAATCACCCTCTCATTCTGCATCAAGACACATCCAAGCCCTTGGATGCTTGCGTCGCTGTAGACATCGTACCCCACACCCTGTTTGGGTAGTGCGAGTACCGGTGCCTCAGTCAATCTCTTCTTCAGTTCAAGGAATCCCTTCTCACATCGGTCATCCCATACAAACTTGGCCCCCTTTCGAGTGAGCTTTGTCAATGGCGATGCCAAAACTGAGAACTTCTCCACAAACTTTCGGTAATACCCTGCCAATCCAAGGAAGCTGCGAATTTCCTTTACGTTCTTTGGCCGCTCCCATTTAGTAATAGCCTCAATCTTTTTGTTATCTACGGCGATCCCTGATCCTGAAACCACATGCCCGAGAAAACCGATCTCCATTAGCCAAAATTCACATTTGGAAAACTTGGCATAGAGTTGCTTCTTCCGTAATGTCTCAAGAACAAGTATCAAGTGCTCCTCGTGCTCTTCTTCACTCTTCGAGTAAATCAAGATATCATCTATGAACACAATCACAAACCGGTCCAAGTATTTATGAAATACCCGGTTCATCAAGTCCATAAATGCCGCCGGGGCGTTGGTTAGCCCGAACGACATAACTAGGAACTCGAAATGACCATACCTTGTGCGGAATGCACTCTTCGGTATGTCATCCTCCTTTATTTTCAGTTGGTGGTACCCCGACCTCAAGTCAATCTTCGAAAACACCGTCGCTCCTCGGAGCTGATCAAACAAGTCATCAATCCTAGGCAAGGGATACCTATTCTTGATTGTGACCTTGTTCAGTTTACGATAGTCAATGCACATTCGAAGTGTTCCATCTTTCTTTTTCACGAAAAGGACCGGTGCTCCCCACGGAGAGTGACTCGGCCTTATGAAACCGTTATCCAATAGCTCTTGCAATTGGGTTTTCAACTCGTTAAGTTCAGCGGGTGCCATTCTGTATGGCGGTATAGAGATTGGTTTGGTGTCGGGTTCGACCTCGATCACGAACTCAATCTCCCTATCGGGTGGAAGTCCCGGCAAGTCTTTTGGGAAGACATCCGGATACTTGCACACAACTCTCACATCATTGATGTCTACCTCTTCTTTGGTTTTGTCCACCACATAAGCTAGATATGCGTGACATCCTTTTCTCATCATATTCCTCGCTCTCACGGCAGATATGATACAACTGTTTGATTTGC